AGTTTTTTACAAAAATTACTCTAGATTTTAACAAATAATTTTATTCAACATGATTTTTATACCACAATGTGCAAATAAACAAAATTAATTTATCATTACAAAATTTTGGGTCGATCGAAAAGCGGTTGGCCAACCACAAAAGCTCACGGCTGCTGCTGCGAGAGAGACCGAATTTCCAAAGAGTCAGCCGCAGAAAAGCGGCTTGTAAAAGCTGTTGGCAATAAATGGGTCACCTTGCCTGCTTAGGGGATTACAAACACTAATCCCCGCGCGCCCGTGTGCCATATGCACGCATTGTGCAGCGCCAAAAGCTGCATCGCTCTCGGAAAACGGCCGCTCGGCCCGCTGATCTGATGCGATCAGACCAGCGCCAATTAAACCTTTTGCGTCTCGCGCTCACAAAAAGCTCAAACGGATCGAGCGTTTTATTTCACCGCCGGGGATGGAAGCGCCCCGCTAATGGCTTCGATCGACGACGCACACGGTGATCCGATCAACCACCGGGGGTGATTTCAGCCCCAACCGCATGCAGCACGCCCGGAAAATCTGTTGATCCTTCTATATAAATTAATTCAATTTTTATTCTTGGGCACAACTTGTAAAAATATTGCAAATGATATTTAAGTTGGACATCAAAACTCAGTGTTTTTAATTAATATGTAAAAATTAAATTTGGGTGGCTACAACTTAAAAATAAAAGTAAACACTGGAAAAAAGAATAATTAATTTCATTTCAATTTCTTCCAATTTTCAAGAAGATTTAACTCTAGTACCTTTTTAATTTATATGAGATTTCAATATTTTTTTGCAAGACTGCATGCAATATTTATTTAAATTTTATCAACTAATCAACGTGTCTAATGCTTGAAGAAATATTCATGTAAGATGAAGATGAAGCTAATTGCATTTTGGTATAATTTTAACAGGGATTTTAGTATTCACTATGTTGAAAATGAAATGATTATTAATATTATTGCTGGTTTTTTCCATTTAACAAAATATTTATATATGATCAAGAATCGGATTAAAGTTAAATGGGAAGGTCAATTTTTAAAGGTGAATTAATTACAAAATTGAAATAAAAAGAGTACTTTTTAATTGTTAAGTTGATCAACAGGTTTTCTGTAAAAACTTGGAGATATTTCATTTTAATTTCTTATTAAATTTCATCTGCTGAATTTTAATAACTGCAGCTGCGGGATGCAGAAAAGCTTAAAAAATTACAGAGCGTTTTGGTTGAAAATTATTAACAAATTTATCAAAAAATTCTGACACTTTTAACTCTTTTTTCAGTTGCAGGCAGAGAGGAGGAGAGAAAATTAAGCCGTCACATTTTATTCATTTTTCCCTGAAGCGCCAGCAATTTGCAGCTCCCGTCTCTTGACATCTTCCGCGGCGGCAGCAGTTTGATTAAAATTTATAGCTCTGGCTAATTAAACGATTAACTCTCTTTCTCCTTTGATGCCTCCATATCCCTATTCTTCGGCGATTTTCGTTTTCCAACTCTCCACACACGAATATAGCATAAAATTTGTAATTCAGGCCTGAGCACAAACACGGAGCAATTAAATATTCAAATTTTATGCATATGTTCGCCATCAAAGAGCCGGCGATGATTTCCATAATTCGGCGATTTCGATGCGTCGGCACAAAATTATATGAGTTTTCACATACGTACATTAGAGAGGCGCGCATATAAAAGTTTTGTGTGCTGCAAAATTACAAAAACATGGCATGCACGCGCGTCAAACGTTTTTGGAATTGAATTGAAAAAAGGCCACGCAGGAAATTGGTTGGCTTATTTATTTGATCTGCGTGTGGAGATCGATTGTGGTTCTTCGTATTACAAACGATTAAAAAGCGTGTTTGATTTCAATAACAAGTAAGCGTTAGAGAGGTGCCGACGACTCTTCAAGACGGAAGTACGGCGGCAGACTGACGATTAAGCGCTTTGCAAATAATATAGTTTGGAATATACTATAGTTATATACCGAGTTTTACATAATCAGCTATTAAATAAGTAATGATTTTTCAAATACAACAAAAACAAAATAAATATTTGAAAGGAATTCAAAAAAATTTAATAATATTTCGTTTTCATAGTTTATAACCTTACCTTATTATAATTTAAACCATAGCAACAGATATTGAAATTTTTGAGTATAACTGAACGTTTCAATGATAAATTTTACAATTCTGATAGTTTCCTCAATTTCCCGTAAAAATTATTTATTATTTATGTAATTAATGTTATTTCATTTATTTTAAAGTTAAGGTATGACAAATTTTGAATATAAGCCTAACTGAAAAAGCCTTGTAAAAATTAATAAATTTAATATAAAAAAAAAAATAAAAAAAAATGTATTAAATAAATAAACATAACTTATTTAAATTAATTAACAACCATTTTTTTACTTTTAATTAAATAAAAAATTTAATTTAATTACATCATGTTATTATTGATTATATACTTAGTGCTTATATTTTTGACTCTTTTAAATTGGAATCCTAAAATATTTGCATAAAATTGGATTCTTCGAGATAGAAAAGAAAATGCGAGATGCTGCTGTGCTGTTTGTCCAACAGCCGCGACCCCCCTCTTTTTTGCTGTTACGCAATTGTTTTGACCCCCGCTGGAGTCACAAATATCGGCAAGAATGGAGTCGTTCAAGTGTGAAATCGCGCTCACTCGCCCTTTCATTTGCATAAATAATGACAAAATCATCAACAGCTCGGCAAGTATTTATTTGCGGTCGTTAATCTACAAATAAAACACCGACGAGAGAGCAAATTCGCGGCTCGCTCCACGTGATCTGAACACATGCAGAAGTGCCGCGTGCTGCGTTGGAAATTTCAACGTTCGATCCGAGGTTAAAACAATAAAAAAAGGGGAGAATTTAAGAAGAATAAGGGATGAAAAATCGACGCACAAGCAGATTTATGCAGGACGCCCTGTGAGGTAAGGAAGTGGCAGTTAAAAAAACCTGCAGTTTTTTAATGGAATTATGAAGTAGAAAAAATTGGAAGATTAATTGTATTTAAAAGTTAATGAATTTAAATGTATTAGTTGCAAATGTAGTTTCTAGGTGTACCACAAGGCAAACTCTAGACAAATCGAGATTCATCATAAAAATATTCAAAAAGTTATAAATTAAAAGAAAAACAACACTTAGAGAGGAGAATCACTACATGTTCTGAAAAAGCTTTTCAGTAAACATTAAAAAATAAATTTAGATATATTTAAATATATTAAATTTTAGTATTTCGAAGTATAAACCCTGGTATTAGTTATTTTAAATTGAATAATTAATTAATTAATAAATATTATTAAATAAAATTTTATAAACTAAATTTATTTTCATCTTCTTTCATAATTTATAGTAATAATTTTCTTAATTAAAAAAAAAACTTTTTGATGCATAAAATAACAATTATACAAATAGGCGGTTGCAAATAGCATCAGTAAATTGGTTCGATTGATGAAAATATTTTAACGACTGAGGAAAGAGGTTGTTAATTTTAAAAATTGCATGGTTTTAGTTGAAATTATAAAATTATTACAATGTGAATATAATACTCAGCAATGAAATGAAAATAGAATATAATAATTTTAGATCATATACAGAGTTCTTCATTGTATCAAAATTATTAAATGAAAATACGACGTCAGATGTAAAAGGCGACCAAATGGTCCAAAACCGCCGGAGAGAGAGAATTGAGAATTAGCCGGACGAAGATTAAAGAAGGCGTAATAATGCCTTATGGTCGCGCTCTTTTACTGAATGGACATCTTTCAAATCTGTGTTCTTTTGATGATGCTGCGCTTATAGCCTCGCAACACGTGCAGCGCATCTCAAGTTAGGTACGCGTCCATAAGAGTAGCGCATCATCTTTTCTCGATCTACACCATCTAAATCTCGGCGCAGTCAGAAAAAAATGTATAACTGATGGCGAGAGATGTTGTGTGTGTTATTTTAGGCGGTGAATGCCAGTTCTGTTTTCTGGTGATGCTCATCCTCCTCTCGCCCACGCAATTGTGCTGAGCCAACAACTTAGGTCCATGTGTCGGACGGAGGTTGAATTTTATATATATTGTGCGTGACTTGAGACTCTTCATGAGAGCGAACGGTCACGTGGTTAAATAACATAACGTAATGAGTATGCACATAATTTAGAATATTTTCATCATATAGTTCCATTACAAAAAAAAAAATAATAATAATAAATAAATCAAAATTATGCCGCAATTGAAACCAGTATTTTTTTTTCGTAAAACTTATCACGGGAATTAGTGCTATAGTGAAAAATGATTTCTTTAATTTTTTCATTTCTGATTGACAAGAATAGAAAAGTATTTTGTAATATTAATGTAAGCTTTAAGAATTATAAAATTTACAAAATGTTTTTCATATTTTCAAGAGTTATACAAAATTTTCAAAAAATTGCATATTTTTCAAGGTTGAAAAATAGAGAGAAATCAAATTCAAATATTATAACCCTCTCTTATAAACACTTCATTTTTCAAGAATCATTAATTGTCAATATTTCTATCATTTTCAAAAATGGATAAGAAAATTTAACCATTTTTTAACGTATCAATTAATTTAAAATATTTGGCATTAATTTAATCAAGTTCCTGACCATTAATAAAAAATAAAAAATTTCAAAAGTAAATTATATTGAACTATTAAATCAAATTATCTGTGATGTTAAACTGAATGCAGATTAATAAGATTTTCCTGGAGCTATCAAGTTGATCTCAATATTTAGATTTTTCTCACACCACCAGTTATAAGAAGAAAGGAAAAAAAGACAATTGTTTTGCCTATACGAGTTTCAAAAACGAACTTTTCCCTTTTTCAAGATCGCAGCACGGCGCGTATATTGGAGCAAAATAATTGCACCGCACGTGCAGCAACAAACAACAAAACACCGAAATCAGCGGCACACATGCAAATCACACGCCGCGGCTCGAAAGAGTCAAACGCATTTTTACTCACGCGGCGGCGGCAGCGGCGTCGTGGCGCGAGTTTATCCACTCGAGTGGCTGCTGTCAAAGCGATTTGCATGCAGTCCGAAACAAAAACAAATCAAAACAGCATTCGATTCGAATTCTATTTTCCTCGGTAGGTCCGTCCGTCCGTCGGGCGACACAGCTAGACGCACTACGGCGGCTCGCTCTCGCGGCAGCCGTCGGCCCAGCCGGCCGGCCGCAGGGGAGGGGGCCGACCGGCCGCCTGCTCGCATCACGCCTCACAATCAGACGCACCAACGCTCATTTCTTTCTCACCTATACCAAATGTAATAAAATGCCAAATAATATGTAAATTAAAAAACGAAGCAAGTTCAAAATTTCTTTCTTGCGGATTAACATGGCACAATATATAATTATAAAATGACGCATAAAAAAGCAATCATGCCGTTAAAAAAAAAATTTCAGTCCTGCTATAGGGAATATAGAAATGATTTCTCAAAATAATTATGTAAAATAATTACAATACTTAATTTCCAAAGTTTGAAGATTTGTTTATTAATTCCATTAAACTTTTAAATCTTTTTTAATATTGTATCTAAATTATAAAATAACATTTATTTATTTTATTTTTAATTTGAACATAATTATTAAAGGCTAGAATCTAGATATACCTAACTTGAATTGCTCCTGAATTACTTGTATTAAATTTTACCCCGTTTAATTTACTTCATCTTTCTAAGCGAAAAAATGTTGCTTGTATATATGAAGCTTAAAAAAATTAAAATTACTTTTCAGCATATCTATTTATTATTTCCCTTCTTTAATAATTTTTTTATCTTAAATTTTCAACAAAATTAAATAAACTCCAGTCTTCAGCACTAACTGGTTTATTTATTCACTTGTTTGCTTATGCAGTTGATAAAAATCTCTCGATTTTCAACTTGAAGAGAGAATTATTTTCTATACAAGCACCACCAAGAGTTGTTAATTTGAATAATCAGGGACGAAAAGGAGACTTTGCTGTACATATGGCCGGGAGATGTTGCTGTTTGCAGCAAAAAATACTCCTTTTGCCTTGTGCGGGAAACGCGAAATGTCTCATGCAAATGAGCGCGCATCTTTCTTTAAACCTTTGGTATTTTTTTTTCATCGGCGTGTCTTTCTCTTTTCTTTCTTTCGTGTTTGGCGAAGAGAAGTAAAAAAGAAAACGAGCCGAGATTTCGCTCTCGGAACAAAGCAGGCGCGAGTGAGTTGTATTATTTTCACGAAAAGAGTTAGTTGTTTTGTTGCGCGGCCGGCGTGCATACCTGGTTGCTGGACCAATCCTCGAGAGTCGGAGGCTGCGCCAGAGGAGGCCCGGCCCGCCTCCAGACCGCCCCACGATCAAAGAGGGGGGCCGCGAATAAATTAAATAATCAATTGCGTCGAGCGTGTGGGGCGACCTCACTCATTCAGTACCACACTTACTGCTCTCTATATCATTTGATCGCATTACGTGTGGAGATGAGTGTGTGTACCCGTCGTTCCCAACACCGCTCATTAATTATGCTCAAATGCAGTAATATAAGCAGATGCGGTGGAAAATAAATAATTTTCAAGATTTTGATAAGCGAAATGCACTGGAAATTATTTAAAGTAGAAACCGGTTTTTTTTTTCAAATAATATAAAAAAATATTGATGCAAAATTAAGCGGTTTTTAAACTCAAAAGATGAATCAGATATGAAATTCTATCAAGTTAAGCTAAAGAAAAAACAATGGGTTTGAAATAAATTATAAAGCAAAACTTCTTGTAATAAGAAATCTTAATTATGCCAAAACCGAATTTAAAGTTTACGTTTTTTTTTCAGAAATTTATACTTTTCTCTTTTCTAAGATTTTCTAATAAAAACATTGGAGAGTTAATCGAAGCGGCAAAACATTTTGCACTTAAAATTACAAAAAAAAAACCGTACACGAACACGACCAATTAGCAATAGAAAAGGTTATGTATAAATTGGATTACTGGTGCATTATTATTTCACTCACAGACTTTGTTTGTCTAACAAAATGGAAATAAAAGAAATAAAAAATTTAATGAATGTATGATGATAATATTATTATTAAAGCATTTTTTTAAATAATACTAGACACATCAAATAACATTAGATAATAAAATAATTTGTTAATTCTTACAGTTTTTTTATTTTACCTTTTTATTTAATTTTATTTTGAATTGATTACACAGTAGTAAAGTAGGATAAGAATGATTTAATTGGTATTGGTGCTTTCATAAATAATTATAACTTATTACATTAAATGAATAAATTTTAATACCTCAAGCTTAGAACAGTGTTAAGTAATTGTTGAAAATTGACTGCTTCCTTCTTAAGCGGTGTTCATCTGTAGTATTTGAGATTAATATAGACAGATGGATCAAAAAATAAATACTTCATGGAAAAATAATAAAATCGATTGCATGGCAACAAGTTAAGTCGCTTATATTTTATTTTTACTCTAATGTTCAGAATAAAATAATGATGTCTAAAATGAGCGGCCGATCAAACAGAGCTAATTACTAATCGCCGCGCGAATATATTTTCCTCTCGCGGCGCAGGCTGTTGTTGCGAGAGACGGCGGAGGTCGAGATGCAATTAATAATTGGCTGTCAGCTTGACTCACTGAAAAATCAATCAGCAGCCGCGGTGCGGCGGCGTTATCTGCGCGAATCGAAATCGCAGCGGAATGCGCCGCCGCCGATGCTGAAAAGTAAAAAAGCAGCGCCGGTGCTCCCACTGAATACAACTGCTTTGAATAAAACGAACCGCGAGCAGAAAAAGCAACAGCAGCGAGGCGTGTACATATATATTTTTTGAAATAGATAGACGCTCTAAATAGGCGCGGGGGCAGTCGAGTGTGAACAGGACCAATATCAGTGTCAGATCTGCTGCCTCCGCGAACCCTTTGAGCTGCCTCCGAGCCGCCTCAAATCTCCGCTCTACCGACAAATCGACCGGCGGAAAGAAACGGCTCTGCAGACACCTCGCCTTTTGTCGGCGCGGCATTCACGCAGACAAACCGCAGCAGCACAAATATGCTTTAAACCGAGGATCAAAATGCTTGAAAGGCTTTTTGGTGATTAAAACAGATTAAATTCGCTTTCCAGAGGTTTCCTAGAAGTGTTTTGTCGCGGGTGAAGTTTTGTTGATAAATTTTATCAGAAGAGAGGCGGCGAGATTAGAACCGGTCGCTGAGCATATTATTATCACTGCGATTAGTTTTGAGCTTCAAAGAAACGCGCAATTGAGATAGTGCTTAGTTATTGCACAGATTTGCAAAACTTTGACTTTCATTATCTCCTCACTTTGTGCAGCATAATAGCAATATTTATAAAAATTACTTCTAGGCTTTTTTTGCATCTCTTCTTGAATAGAAATCAGCAGAGGATGTTGGGATCAGATTATCAGGTTAGACTAATTTGTACAAATTACTTAAAACTATCTGCAAATAAAGCGGGTGAGGTTGATGATCTAAAATTGCAAAAATTGTGATAATTTTTTCAACTAATTTTAAAAAAAAAATTCTTCTAATCAAAAGTTTTAAGCCGTTTGGCTTGTTTTTCGCCAAAAATATAACCGAAAAAAATTACAACAGTTCAAAGAGTTACATATAAATCACAAAAAAAATACCTATTTGAAACATAAGTTGTATTTTAAAATGAGGTGATTGATTTTTGTGGGTAAATGTTACACAACAACGAAAACACTGTTGTTATTTTTCAATTCAAAATTTTCACACTTGAGTTTTGGTTTATCAATTTACTTTACGAAAAACTTCCAAATCACATAATTATCTTTCTTATGTTCAGGAGAAAAAATCATTTATTTTAATAATTTTCGTAAATGGAAATTCGTTTAAATATAACATCTTCCATTCATTGCTTACTTTACAATTTATGTTATTTCTTAATATTTTTTTTTTTATATTCTTTTTCAGTGGCAAGGTGGAGGCGGCGGAGGAGGCGGGGGTGGAGGAGGCGGTGGAGGTGGCGGCGGTTATGGTGGAAATGGAGGCTGGGGAGGCTCAGGAGGAGGAGGAGGAGGAGGTGGTGGTGGTGGTGGACATGCTGGAGGTCATGGCGGCCACCCCAACTTTGCTAATTACGGAGCACCAGGCGGATATGGATTTGGTGGTGCACACGGAGGTCACGGAGGGGCTGCAGGTCAAAGAGGTCAAGACGGGGCACCAGGACACGGAGGAACTTCTAAACTAGGAGGGACGCCTGGTCTGGGAGGCCACGCTGGAGCACCCGGAGGTCAACCCGGTGCCCCTGGAGCTGCAGGTAACAACGGTCAAAATGCAGAAATCGGAACTCAAACAGAGTTTTCACATCGAGAACCAAACCAGAAAGATCAAGGGAGCCAAGGAGGCGCTGGGAGCCAAAATGAAAATGAACAAGCCACTCGAGGTGAAGAACAGGAAAGGGGTGAGGGAGCAAACTGATTGAGAAACTATATTATTGGATTTTTTTAATTTTACTCACTCAGTTGATGAAGAAACTGCAGAAAATTTGAACCATGGCAACAGCAATTCACACAAAGGAGAAAACAGCTTTAGCTTCAGTTTCTCTAATCCCTAAAATTTTAATAAAAACGAAAAATGAAATTGATTTTGTGTGATTTATATACCTGCTGCAGGCTGCTAATTGTAAATGAAAACATGAAATTCCCTAGTTTTCTGCCGTATATTTTATTCAATATTATATATTTTAAATATATATAAATAATTGCATTAATATGATAAATAGCTTGGAAGTAAATGTCCCCACTTGGAAATATGAATTATGAACGCTTTCTGATTCCCAAGCGAACACAAATAAATAAATATAATAAAACGAGTCATATAAAGAGTGCACCGACATATAAATATGGCATTAATAATGCACCATGTGAATGTGACCGGCCACTCGAAATATTGAGAGCACTCACCGGTCGGAGTGCACAATGAGCTTTCGCTCTCCGCCTGCCCCGTTATAAATGCAAAATATAATAACGCTCTCGCTCCTTATTCAGCGTGTTTACAAATATGTTGTCATCTCGTTTGCGTCGAGTGACAATAATAATGCGATGATATTATGTGCTCGTTGGTTGTTATCATGCACAATGAAAAAGAGCGGAGGCCACATCTCTCAAGAACACTTGTGACTTATAATTGC